AGTTAGGAGGTCCTGGGTGAATTAGTTAATTTCTGTACATTTTCTTAAAGATAAAATCAGAGTAAAAAATAATACCTACCCCATAGCATTTTTATAAGATTGTGCAGGATGATATTTGTTTAAAAAAAAAATTCAAACAGTACCTAAAACCTGTGTTTTATCAAATCTAAGATGCCATCAGTTGTGAGATATACCACTTTTGTGTGTATTCCTAAGAAGGAAAAGCAGTGCCAATTATAATTATAAGGTGCTATTAGTTATGTCACCTCCTGATGTGTTAAAAGGTGAAAAAAATATGTATTTTAAAATCAGTGAAGTACAATAGTTGGTGCTGTATAAATAATTAAAATTCTGGTTCAGACAAGCTGATAATTCAGGGCAGTGTGGCCCAGTCCTAAGTTTGATTGGAAAATAATCCATTTGTACTTGTGGATGGTTATATAGCAACAGAGTTCTAAGTAAATCATAGCATTACTGAACGTCCAGATCGTTTCTTGACTGCTCCAAGAAGTTACTGACACATATATTTTTCATTTTCTTAGTGGAGTTTAAAACTGCTTTCATTACAGACTCAAGGGTCATTTAGTAATCTAACCAAGGCATGACGGTTTGTTATGGACTGAATGTCTGTATCCTTTCAACATTCATAAGCTGAAGTCCTAACCCCAAATGTGATTATATTTGGAGAGAGGGCCTGTGAGGTGGTAATAAAGAGTAAATGAGGTAATTTAAGGGCATGGCCCTAATCTGACAGGACTGGTGTCCTTATAAAAAGAGGAAGAGACACCAGAGCTTCTGTTCTCCATGTGAGGACACAGCAAGAAGGTGACTGTCTGCAAGCCGGGAAGAGAGCTCTCACCAAGAACTGTACAGGCTGACATCTTAAGTTTAGACTCCCAGTCTCCAGAACTGTGAGAAAATACATTTCTGTTGTTTAGGCCACCAAGTCTATGGTATTTTGTTATGGCAGCCCAAGCAGATTGAGACAGTGACGAATGGGAGGACATTTCCTGAGAGATAACTGTGAATGATTCCTCCTGGCCCCTGCTCATAGCTAGTCATTAGCTGCCAGGGAATGTTTGACTGAAAGTTGCTGATTTGCAATTGGAACCAAAGACAGGATCTCCCTTCCAACCTTTCCCAGTCCTTACTTTTCTGCTCACTCAGTGCTAAAGTTTCATAGTATTTTACTGACATTATAATTACTATTTATTTAATTTTACAGTTGTATGCAACTACCTATGGGGAAATCAATGCTCTTGTTATGAACATTTAATTAGGTTTATCATTTTAATCACTTCTCCATATTCATGCTTTCTTAAGTAGTAGATTGAAAACTTTCTCTCTTGCTGGTAGTTTGATTCTCTGGGTACTGGTTCTGTCTGCCTTAGCATTTGTTCTCACCAGTAATTGAATTTTCCTGCCATCAACATTGAAGATGGTGTGACAAGGTTAGTCCAGAAAACATTCAGAATAATATAGAGGTTATTGTTTGGAAAGCCTGTCTTTATGGATAAAAAGTCTGAATCATGGAATATTTTGAAATTGGTTTTATTTTGAAACACATGCATCAACAGAAACTAAGCAAAGCATTCACCAGTGGGAATCCTCGGGGAGACATCTTTTAATGAGTAGATGAAATTGCTTACAATTCACATAACAGTTTCTATGTAAATGGATGTATCTGAAAATCATGAGCACACTTGAGGGTACTTGAAAAAGTTGTCTTTCCTTAATAATTGCTGAACAGAACCTCTACAATCTTGTTTATGTTATTTTTATCAGAGCAAAGGTAAGTCCCTCCAGCCTGGTATAGCCAGAGTTGGTGTATTAGCTATCTACTGCTGTGTAACAAATTATCCCAAATCTTGAAAACCTGAAACAATCAACAGACATTATTATCTCACACACAGCTTCTGAGCATCAGGAATCTGGCAGTGGCTTAGCTGGGTGGTTCTGGCTCAGGATTTCCCATGAGAGTGTAGTTATGCTGTTGGCTGGGCTGTAGGATCCACTTCCACACTTACCCATGTGACCAATGGCAGTAGACTGTAGTTCCTGGCTATGTGGGCCTCTACCTAGGGCTGCTCACAACATGGTTTCCCCAGAACAGATGAACACGTGAGTGAGCATGCCATTGTCTTATCACCTAATCGTGTACATGGCAAGCCATCGCTTCTGCTGTGATATGCTGTTGTCACACAGACCGAGTAACTCTGGTTTAATGTGGGAGGGGCCCGCACAAGGGGTCTGTTTGCAAGTTTACTTACACGGCTGTTGTCAGGACACTTCAGTTTCTTACCACCTAGGCCTGTCTGTAGGGCTGCTCATGCCAGGGTTTCCCCGGAGTGAGTGATCTGAGGGCCTGGAGATGACAGCCACCTAATTTTGGACAAACCAGCACATCTGCTGCATGCTTTTGCTCAAATAGACCAACCCTGGTACCATGTGGGAAGGGATTGCACAAACCTGTGAATACTTGGTGGTGGGGATGACAAGGGAGCATCTTAGAGGGTGGCTGCCACAGTTGACATGTGACCTGAGTCAGGCCAGTCAGATGCACCCTTTCCTAGAACTGACGTGTGGAGCAGCATGACAGATTGAATGGAATTACTCACTGAGGTCGAGCCATGAGAGTAGTTCCACTTATGGTTAGCTACGCTCACTCTTCGTTCTACAAACTCCTGATCTTCCAGTGAAGTCTCTTTGCATTAAGTTAGCTCAAATCAGTTTCTGTTGTTCTAACAAAAGACTCCTAACTGATAAATGGATTCCAATGTAAATTACCCTTAAGTACATATGCAATACAGAAACTACTTTGTTTATCATAGGATGATGGAATTCAGGTGGTTGGTGATGGGAGAGTAGCAAGAAACTGTGGTGCTAGATTGGAATCGGAGATGTCAGTGTGTACTTATGCTGTACCTGCACACATACTTCCTTGACCTATTTGCTGAAAGGGCCTGAGTCACTCCCTAATTGTGATGAGTAAACCTACATATTGAGATTCAGGTTTCTAAGTCTGATGCCCCATGAAAAGTAATCAAGGATTCTTGAAGAAATTATGGGGGCAGGGAAAATACCAGGTAAGTCTGGAACTTCTTGAGGGTCAGAAGGTTAGTAAGTTCTCAAAGAATATGAGAATATGTCATAGCTCCTCCTGCCCAGATCTGGGACAATTGGAAGGGTCTCCTCCTGCCCAGATCTGGGATGATTTGAACATTAACATAGAATCAGTCTTACAACTATCATATTGGTAATTGATTCAGGTGGAAATCATCAATGGATACTAAAACTAGTAGGTGAAAGTTTGATAAAGAATGGGATATATTCATAGTCTCACTAATATATCTCCCTCAAAATGCTTACTAACATAAAGGGAAAAATAATACCTTTACAATGGAGAAGCCTGATAGATACCATCCTCACCATTTAATTAAAGGTAATAGCACTGATAATGGGATGAAAGAACGTTGGGTGTTTCCTGATATGATGCACTAAGAATATAGAATCACTTCTGGGACAATCTGCTAAAGATGCATTGCTTGAATCTAATCAAGAGGAAGCATCACACAAATCCAAACTGAGAGACATTCTGCAAAATAATTGGCATATAACTCTTGAAAAATGTCAAGGTCAAGAAAGAAAGACTGAGAAGGAGTTTCTGAATAAAGGAGGCTAATGAAATGTGACAATTGAATGCAATGCATGCACCTTGGTTGGATTCTGAGCAGGGGGAAAATAGCTATAAAAGGCATTATTGAGATATTGGCAAAATTTGAATATAGATTGTACATTACATAGTAGCATTGTGTCATGTCAAATTTTCTGTCTTTAATCATTATGTAACCTTATGTCTTTGTTTTTAGAAAATACACAGTGAAGTAGTTAGGGGTAAAGGAGCATCATGTCTGAAATTTACTCTCAAATGGCTTAGAAAAACATGAGAGAGTGAATGATAAAGCAAATGGGGCCACATATTAGCTGGTGAACCTGGGTGAAGTCTGTTACAGCAGCAATTGCCAACTAATAACAAAGTACCACACATTTAGCACCATGTTTCTGCGGGTCGGAAGTCTAGCACTGCCTGGCTGGAATCTCTGCCCAGCATCTCACCATCCAGTTAAATTCAAAGTATCAGCAGGCTGCATTTCTTTATGGGGAGGCTCTGGGGAAGAATCAGCATCCAGGCTCACTCTGGTTATTGGCATTTCTTGAGGTTGTAGGACTGAGATCTCCATTTCCTTGACATGTGGCTCCTCCATCTTCAAGCCAGCAATGGCACCTGGAGCTCTTCATCTGTCTGCTTTCCAGGGCTCATTTGAGCCCTGAATGGCCCGATCTGGATAATCCAGGCTACGCTCCCTCTCTTAAAATCAACCAGTTGGCCAGTCATGGTGGCTCACGCCTGTAATCCCAGCACTTTGGGAGGCCAAGGCAGGCAGATCACTTGAGGTCAGGAGTTCGAGACCAGCCTGGCCAACATTGTGAAACCCTGTCTCTACTAAAAATACAAAAATTAGCCGGGCATGGTGGCACACACCTGTAATCCCAGCTACTCGGGAGGCTGAGGCAGGAAAATTGCTTGAACCCAGGAGGTGGAGGTTGCAATGAGCCGAGATCACGCCACTGCACTCCAATCTCAGTGACAGACTGAGTCTCCCTCTCAAAAAAACAAAAAATCAATTAATCTCAGTCACATCTGCAAAATCTCCTTTGTCATGTAATTAATATGACATAACCATGAGTGTGGCCCCAGGGGTTGATGATCCTGGAGGCCTCATTTCTGCCTACCACAGGTTCACAGAAGCTTTTTGCATTCTTCTCACCACCTTTATATAAATTTGAAATGACATGTTATCAAAATAAAATGTTATAAAAAGACTCATAAGCATAGCACAGGAAGTTGGAAAATGTCATCATAGCATCGTTCTGGTTTTGGTGCTGTCATTTCCTTCTAACAGCACTGGGTTTGTTTTTCTCCCCCCATTACCTACTAGGTCACCACCAAATCAAGCAGGGTACCTGTGAGGTGGTCGCCGTGCACAGGTGCTGCAATAAGAACCGCATAGAAGAGCGGTCACAAACGGTCAAGTGCTCTTGCTTCCCAGGACAGGTGGCCGGTACAACTCGGGCTCAACCTTCTTGCGTTGAAGGTAAGACTTCTCTGGTCAGTATCGCTGATATTTCAAAAAGGTCAAAACCCACCAGGAATTTCTCTACTTTGCTGCCTTTGCAACCCAAAGAAACCTAGGGTTGCTTTGAGATCAGTGTCAATCCAAAGTGAACATAAATACAACTCCAAAAATGTCTTGATGGTAAGGTAAGTCTTCAATAATGTCCCTCAAGGGGTACCAATGGGGAGTTGAATTATAGGGCAATTGGGAAGACGTGCTTCAATTCCTTTTGCCCACCTGTCTCCAAATCTCACTCACCAAAGCAATTGTTTCCACAGATGCCCTGTTCTCCCACCTCTTAGATACTCTGTACTCAAAATTAGCAGCATGACTTTCTCACTTCATGCTTGGTGTCATAGATTAGTATCCTCTCTCTTATTTCTAGTTCATCATTTTAACAAACATTTATAGGACATTCTCTTTGGAACAACTTCCCTGGGAATAGTTTGGAATCATGTATCATTCATTTGTAATCTCTAGATCCCCTAGCACAGTGCTGTGCCGATGGTTGTAGATGGAAACCTGGGATTGATTTCTTTTGATACCCCTGACTTCTTCCAGCAGACGCCATGTTAGAAACAAGTGTCAGTCCCCAGGGGAACAGATACACGGGGTTAGTCTGTATCAGTTGCTCTGCAGTGTCACAAACCTCCCTGAAAATGAACATTTCCAGTCTCATTTGATGCATGTCTAAAGGTCAGCAGTTAAAACACACACACATTCTTAACTCCAGATCATATTGCACAGTGAACAAGAACGGCTGATTTACCTGCATCCCATTCCCCCTACCAAACACACACATAGACATACACAACTATATGGGCTGTGTGGTTGCAGTGGTATATATGTATCAGCACCATCTCAGCCACCTTTAAAGCAGGAAAGTGAAAGTGGAAAATTTCCACCTATAGTTCTTTATCAGAAACTTTGGGGGCCAAATGTGTTGCTGAATTCAGAATTTGCTCATATTTCTTGTGGGTAACATAGCACATATACCATCTATTACCTACAGACCTAATGTGCTCTCCACTTGCCCCCCATAATCATAGAAATATTACTATATCTGCAGTGAAATGTGCAAATATTCATGCAAGATGGGATAAGGCTGGATAAAGAACTTGTTAATTCAAGTCTGGCTTGCTGTCATCTTACAGAAAACCTTTCAATTTCCAGAGCTTTTGGATTTGGGGATTATTGATAAAGGATTGTGAACCTATAAAAAAAGATGAAGATCTTTAACATTTAAAAAATGGCACTTTTAAATTTCTTTTAAGAAATACACGGAGTTTCTACACCTCCAGCTGGGGAAGTCTAATGTATTTATCATCTCTATTAATTGAATCCAAATCACAACCATTCTTTCTCCTGGCTGTCTCTCAAATCAGCCCACTTTTCTCCATCCCACTGCTACCTCCACAGTCTAGGGGTCACCCTTAGATCTTGCTGAGTGTGCCACATCTCTGCTTCCACTTTCAGTCCTGTAGCCAGAATGATCTACACAAACAGAATGACTTATGTCACTCCCACACCGAAGACCACACTTTAGTGTCTTCCCACTGTCTTTAAGATAAACTCTAAGTTCTTTACCATGGCTTGCAGAGCCCTGCAAGATCTATGTCTCAGTGCTCTTTCAAGTACTCTACCCTAGGCAATCCAGAGTTCTTCCCATTTCTTTTCATTTCTGCACATTACTAATTTACATCCATTGCCCTCCTCCCCATAAAACACACCTGGTCTGCTTAATTCTTCTTATTCTCCTTTCAAATCTCTTGTAAGTTCTTGCATCAACTTGGATTTCCAGTTCATGACAGTCAGCCCATGTTATTGTGAAAACGTATGCCTTCCAGTTAGTATGTAAACAGTTTGTGGACAGGGACATGGTCTCTTACTTTCATCTTTCCCCATTGGCTGGCCCATGAAGAAGTTTTAGTACAGTGGAGAATGGACTTTGGTAATCACAGATTGTTCTCTACAGGCAATGTGTTTGCTTGCCTCTGTAGGCCTTAAATGTCTTCTAACAAACTCTTTTTATATTCTGTCTAACCCAGAATAATGTTTTACAATATTCAAAGCACTTTTATTAGTACCTAAAAAGTACTGATAGGGCAGTGATGACTATTAGTATCTTAGTAAAGAAAATATGAATACCTTACCCTAGACTATCTTGTTTTAAATTTTATGTATGGGCAAATCCCCTTTGGCCACCACCCTAGAATTAACTACATTTATCTGTTTGGTCAATATATTTCTGTATATTTGTGTATTTGGAGCTACGGTTGTAGGAAACAGTGGTAGATTTCAATATGAGTGTATGTTTTACACAAATGCTATCACACTGGATATTACACTCATCCTGCTTTATTCCTATCAGTATTAAGTTGCAGAAATCTTTGTGTGCTGGTACGTATTGATCTAACTGGGTATTTTCAATTGCTCCATAGCATTCCATGTATGGATAGGCCATAATTATTTAGCCATTCTTCTTCCTTTTTAAAAATTATAGGGTCTTGCTCTGTCATCTAGGTTGGAGTGCAGTGGCATGATCATAACTCACTGCTGCCTTGAACTCTTGGGCTCAAGCAATCCTCCTACCTCGGCCTCCCAAAGTGTTGGGATTACAGTTGTGAGCCATTACAGCGGGTCACTATTCCTTTATTGATGGACGTTTTGGTTGTGTTTATGGCAAAGCAGACTCGCAGGTTAACTAAATGGTTTCCCTAGTGTCATAGGAAGTGTGATATGGACCAATCATGGAGCATCTGAGCAGAGTCTATGCAGCGTATGTTGTATATGCTGTCTACTAGAACTTTCTGTGATGATGCACATGTTCCCTCTATATATATTTATGGAGATAACTTGTGTAGATAGATACCTGTATCTATATGTGATGATGTATATGTCCAGTGTGGCTAGTAGTCATTAGCCACCCATGGCTATGGAGCATTTGAAATGTGGCTAGTGTAAATTTAGATTTAATAGGCACTTGTGGCTCAAAGCTTCACATTGGACAGTGCAGGTTATGCTTGATGTAAACATGTAACTTGTGTATAACATTTGTGGTCAGAAAGTACCAACACCCTGAAAGGTGAGATTGGGTCTTTCAACCTGTGTCTCCTGTACCTAACATTGTCTGGCAAACAGTCGGTGTTCAATAAATGTTTATTAGATCAAAGTCACTGAGAAGTGCAGGAAGTTTAAGCTTTGGTTGGGATGTATGTCTGATTTCATCTCTCTTTGATCTCTTCCTTATCTGAATATGTTTCCATTAGGGCTTTTTAGCTTTACCTGCTTAATCTTTATCCCATAATAATTATGCAGTATCATGCCCTTAATTGGCATGTGGAGAAGACCTATCCTCTGCTGATATGTTCCTCTTATCTTATTTGTCAATAAGAATAGAAAGGATCTAAAATATAAAATTCACCTAAATTTACATTTAAATTAAAACAAAGGCAAGAAGGTGTTGGCATGGGGCACTAATTAATGCTGACGTAGGAATTGGAATATCCTTTTGCATTTCTGTTAATCCACACCACAGATACTTACCTAGTGTTTTCATTGCTTTTCTGTAAAACCATAGATTATATAAACAGGGAAAATAATTAGCTGTTCCCCTTCTACCAAACTTTGTTATAATTAACTTATGAAACCTCCCCTGAGTTATTGAAGTGGGTCTTTAATATACATTGGGGATTTGGGAGATGGGACAGGGAATTATTTGATTGTAAGTCTGTGGTTACTTGGGTCCTAAAACAGACAGCTATTCAGCTGGTAAGCATTCTTCTTTTTGAATCTTCGGCGGGCATATACAGGTCTGTTTTATGGTGGAAACTATATTCCACACATTTATCAAAATACTGCTCTATAGAGATAATGCTGAATGGTTTTATGATAAAATGAGACAAATGTGTAGTACAAGAAAGTTTATTTTGTCAAAACGAATGGTTTCTAAATATTGAGTTTAAATGATTAATTAAAACAAAAGCTCGGAAATAGAAAGTAGTTACTTTTCAAAGCTATTTAAAAATTTTTTTGATGCCCCATCACTTTTTTTTTTTTTTTGAGACAGAGTTTCGCTTTGTTGCCCAGGCTGGAGTGCAGTGGCACGATCTTTGCTGACTGCAAACGCTGCCTCCTGGGGTCAAGCAATTCTCCTGTCTCAGTCTCCCGAGCAGCTGGGACTACAGATGTGTGCCACCATGCCTGGCTAATTTTTTGTATTTTTAGTAAAAACAGGGTTTCACCATGTTAGCCAGGATGGTCTCGATCTCCTGACCTCATGATCTGCCTGCCTCAGCCTCCCACAGTGCTGGGATTACAGGCGTGAGCCACTGCACCCAGCCCACTTTTTCAAGACGTCAGAATTCATTTAGTTAAGAAGGAGAGTTACTGTTTGGACTGCAGACAACTTTCATGGCTTTATGGGCTGTGTGATGAGACATAGGGGGTCTGTCTTTACAATGTGTTTTCATTGGGATTTTTTTATTGGGCATGTTCTCCTTCCACTTAGAAGATATTTTTCTCAGTGCAGACAGGTGAATGACAGAGAGAGAAGATTTTACCAAAACACTTTGGGAGTTGGGAGGATATGTATGTTGTATATGTTGGTTCATTCATCGTTTTAATTTGGCACCTTTGTGTCTGACCTGTTCTACATGCCAGATGGAAGTATGAGAAGGAGACTCAGGTTCTGGTTTCAAGGAACTCTGAGTTTACTAGTTCAGAGAAACAAACTTTTATTAATGAAGGACTCAAAAGGAGAACAGAGAGGTGGTCAGGGATGCTGCCCCTTGAGAAGCAATGGGTCTGAATTTAGTAGGTAGAAGGATTTGATGGTGGAGGGAGTTAGGCAACGAGGCAGCACAAAGCATGTGAGTGGGGCTAACTCGGAAACTAGAAGTAGCTTGGTCTGGCTTGGAAACAGTAGAAAACAAAACTGGAAAGGTAAACAGAAGCCTTGATATGTGAGGCCTTAGAAT